CATGGGTTTGGCTGGATATTATCAGCGATTCGTCGAGTCATATTCGAAAGTGGCCGCTCCTTTGTCGAGACTTCAGTCCCCGAAGGTGCCCTTCGAGTTCCACGACGCAGCCCGTGGCGCGTTCACTACGTTGAAGGCAGCAATGCAAGCCGCACCTGCCCTCCGTATATATGACCCCACCCTACCCACCCAAGTGACTACGGACGCTTCGGGATACGGTATTGGTGCAGTGTTGGAACAGTGTCACGAGGACGGTTGGCATCCGGTCGAGTATTTGTCCCAAAAGGTGCCTCTCGTCAACACTCTCGACGACGCTAGGAAGAAAGAGCCACTCGCGTTCGTCACCGTTTTCAAACGGTGGCGCCACTTTCTTCTCGGTCGTCGGCGTTTTAAATGGAATACGGACAACAATCCGTTGACCTTTTACAAAACGCAAGATACGGTCACTAGCACGATCGGTCGATGGATGTATTACATCGACCAGTTCGACTTTGACCCGTGCCACATTCGCGGTCCCGTCAATCGAGCTGCGGACGCCCTCTCACGACGGCCCGACTTTTGTGCCATTGTGACCACGGCATTCGACCTCGATGACGATCTGCAGCCGCATTTCGTCAAAGGCTACAAGTCCGATCCGACTTACTCTACGCTTTACGCGGAGCTTTCATCGGATCACCCGCCGGCTAGCCAATATCGGATTTTCGATGGGTTCCTTCTTCTTCACACGAGAGGAAAGGACTTGTTAGTTGTGCCCGAAGATCGCATCTTACGGACTCGTCTTCTCGGCGAATTCCACGACGCACGACTTTCGGCACACCTTGGCGTGAACCGCACATTAGCACGCCTCCGCCAGCGTTTTCACTGGCCCGACGTCCTTCATGACGTCACGAGGTACATTGAGTCATGGGCAGTTTGCCACCGTAACAAGGGTCGATCTCGAGTCCCCTTCGGCGAACTGAAACCGTTGCCGATACCTCGGGCACCGCGCCTCTCCATTGCTATGGACGTGACAGGCCCGTTYCCCCGCGATCGCCACGGCCATGACGTTATTCTCACGGTCGTTGACCGTTTGAGCAAGTATGCTCGCTTCCTTCCTTGCAAGTATCATGCTGCAACGCCTGAGCTCGCACGACTCTTGCACGCCGGTTGGATTACCAACCAGGGTGTTCCGGAAGACATAGTGAGCGACCGAGATACTCGCTTCATGTCAGCTTTTTGGACTTCCCTCATGGCTGCGTCCGGTACGACAATGAAGCCGAGCTCGGCTCGGCACCCGTAGACAGATGGCCAGACAAAGCGAGCGCACCAGACCGCTCAGATGATGTTGCGTACGCTCATCCGTCCCGACCAGAAAGATTGGGTTGACCGGCTTCCCGACATCGAGTTCGCCTATAACACTTCGGTGCACCCGGCGATCTGCGTTACACCATTCGAGCTACATCATGGTGGAGAGAAAGCACGGATCTTCGCTGATCTCCTTTTGCCACAGGCTGCCGACATAGACGTCCCTTGCTCTCCCGCTTCCGT